CGGATAGGAATTATATCTCACACAAAAGGGTCAAAATTTGAACAAAAGGAAAAACAAGGGGTCAATTTTATATGCTTTAACAAAAACTATCATTAAACATGAGCAAATTAAGAGAATCATTAATTACCCAATTAAGCATGAATTTTTTTTTCTTATAAAAATAGTGGGGGTCAAGTAACCACCCTCTTCATTTACTAGATCCGCTCCTGCCTTAGAGCATGATTAACGGCGTGTCTAAACATATGTTCTTAGCAATATGGGTTATTTAATTAAATCAAAAATAGGTACAGTATAATGTGAAACAACGTCGCTTAGTTAAGGACACATAAGAGCATGATTAATGGTAGAGACCCAAAATGTCTCTAATAAAATTAGTTTTAGAGACCTTGTTAAGAGATTTTTTTCTTTTGGCTGCTTCAATGGTAGAACCCCTTAGGGTTCTTAACCCATTTTTTCTTTTGGAATTTTCAAGAATGTTTAAATGCAAAAGAGAAAAAAAACGTAGGAAGTTTAAGCAAGACACAAATTCTGAAAATATTATCAAAATCACTAAGGAAACACAAAGATAAAAAACACAATAGGACGGACATAGCTAACAAGCACTTAAGTTTTCACACCAACATCCTCTGTTGTGTAATCTCCATGAAGCTAACAAAGAAACATATATAACAAATCAAACTCAGATTAGATCATCTCTCTGCTGTGTAAACTCAAATCAAATAGAACCTAACAAATGAAAATCAAAGACAGTCGAGAATCAAAATCCTATTTGTAAACACTAGACGAAGAAAAAGGTATTAGAAAGCATAAGATTTGAGATTGAAAGAGATAAATTTGAGGAAAACAAATCAGAACAAAGTTCATAAATATTCTGATGAAGATCAATCGGCAAAGTTCCAAGCTATAAACACAAATTTAATCTTTCAATCAGAAACAAGAATTAAATAGAGGATCAAAACAGAGAAGAAAAGTTTAATCTTTTGAATAGTCTACTGCTTACTATGCATGCATTCAACCAGACGAGAGCTAAAATCCAAGCAAGTTCCCTTCTAAACCAACTAACTTCTTGTAGATCGGAGTTCGTTCATCCTAAAAAAATTTGAAGAAAAAGACAGTTTATGAGAAAAATTCAAGATCAGAGCTTTACATCTGCAAACTTAAAAAAGAAAACATTTAAGATCAAAGTGCAAACTGCAAAAATTAATTCAAGATCAAAGCTTTACATCTGCAAAATTTATAAAACACAATTCAAGATTAAAGTGAAAACTGCAAAAACCAATTCAAGATAGAAACTTTTACGATTGCAAACTTCAAAAAGCAATTCAAGATCAAAGCTTTACGTCTGCAAACTTCAAAAAACAACTCAAGATCAAAGTTTTACATCTGAAAACTTCAGGAAACCAACTCAAGAACAGAGTTTTTTGTACTTACAAAGACAAGACGAGGCCTGTTGACCTGATGGACCACTTCGATTACACGATAAGCAGTTAGTTGAATTGGATGAACAGACTCGGATCTAATCTTAAAGAAATTCTTTTTCTTCAAAATTTCTTAGGATGAATGGACTCGGATCTACAAGAAGTTAGTTGGCTTTGAAGAGGCATTGCTTGAATTGAGCTCTCGTGTGATTGAATGCATGCAGTATTCCAGAGTAAGCAGTAGACTTTTTAAAAGATTAAACTTTTCTTCTCTGTTTTGATCCTCTGAATTAGAGAACTGTGGGTGGAGCTCCAAAACAAAAGGTTGGAGGATGAGATACCGACACGTGTAGAGCTGTCTCAGAGACGATTTTGCAAGCTGCTCCGGGAGAACTGATTCTGTCAATAAAGCTCGCCACCTCATTAATTTTTGTTTTTTTTCTTCATTTTTTGTGTAGAGCTCCACCAAAGTTCTCTAATGCACTTGCTTTAATGGGTTATACTATTAGAACAGCCAAAAGAAAAATCTCTTAACAAGGTCTCTAAAACTAGTTTTATTGATAAAATATTAGTAAAAAACATTTTGGGTCTCTACCAATAATTATGCTCTTAGGCAAGTGTTTAGATACTCCTCACTTGGCGTGGTGCATGCAGCTGTCCCTGACTTGTAACCGCTTTGGCAGCTTGTCCTAATGTTGGGCAAATGCAAATTGGCACTTCCTGATGAAGCTCGTAGCAGCTATGTTGGAGTAGCGGCGGTCTCTGCTGAGGTCCCTTTGAGTTCTCGATGTCGTCTTCCAAGTCAAACTCATCGCCTACCGTGTTGGCTGCGTCATCTTCATCTAACTCCATGATGGTGCGGTAGATGGAATCATGGAAGCGTTGGTGAGGAGGAAGAAGAGGGCGAGAGTTGTAGAGATAAGGAAGAGCTTGTTTAGTTGTTTGCCATTTTATTTTATTTTCACTTGTTTGTGATGATATGAGTTTGTTTTGGTTTGAGTTTAAGAGTGAAGTGAGGAGTTGATATGTTCGTGAGAAAGGAGATTTGCATGGCGATTACGTGTAAGAATGTATGCATGTGAGAGAAATTTTATTAGCTAGGTTGTTGTCGCGATTAGGTGTTGGAAGAGAGTGTCAAGTGATGAACAACCACAACATTTTTTTACATAAATTTTGAAGCCCGTGATTCCTATCTCAACATTTTAAAAAGTAAAAAGCCCAAAAATCAGCAAAGTAATTTTCGGAGACTATTTTTTAAAATTAAGAGTTTTCAGTAATTTAAAGAAGACATGAGACACTAAAAATAAAATATTATAAAAGAGAAAGAAAAATCTTGTTCATTAACAACCACAATGATAGAGAAAAAAACATAAATAAAAACGGATATAAAATTGATGTCTCACAAGACATTATATTGCTCACAAATATACTAAATACCACCAAGAGGTATCATATATTTTTGGATGACAAAACTTTTCAAAACGTTTACCTCCCTATTTAACAAACATTCCACTACTCCGATTGCCTTACTTATCGCATTAATGATTTTTTTTACGTTTTCATGAACGAAACATGTGTTTTCTTGGACCTGCTTGAAACCCTCAAGATTTATAAGTTCGAGAAACAATCTTTTTTATATATTAACTAGAGGACGTACCCACATAATAAGAAGTTAATGTCGAGTAAATTGGAATGGTTGAGGGTTCTTAGAGCATCTGCATTGGAGAGCTCTATATGGAACTCTTTAACAATTTTAAATAATAAAAATATTAGTATTTTAAATTTAGAGTTTTTCTATAGATTTCCAAAATTTTAGCTCCACATTGGAGAACTCATTGTGGGTTCTTTAAAAATGATAACTTTCTTGTATTTTCAAATCAAAATGAGTAAAGAAAACTGTGAAACAAAAATTGAGCAAGTGCAGTCACTAAAATGCCTTTCTTTTTACATGAAATCATCATCGTCCATCGCTCCATAAGGACCCGTAACAAGGTCATCATCAGGCTTATCCACATGCAGTTGTTTCTTCTTACCTAAAAACAAAAACACAGTTTAAACAAAGCAAATACCATCACGAATCTGATAATTTCAGCAACAGAGTCCTTCAGGAATCAACTAAATCCACAAGTCTATATAGAAGCAAAATCCAAGCAAAGAAACAAAAAGTAAAAGAGAGTGAAATGTGTGTACCTGTCTTCATTTGATATTGATGTAACAGACGAAGCAACATCTTTAACATCCGCTGCTTTCATGTTGGCCACATAAAGTCTCATCACTGCTTTGAGTAGCCCATTATAGTTACTATGTTCACAGACAAGAAGCACAAAAGACCAAACATATAATCAGAAGGGAAACAAGTAACTACCAAGAGCAGTGAAGATATGACATCCACTTCACGAGATACTGTTTCACACAAACTTGCTTTGGTGCCGCTTCTGAGGAATCTTCTTCACTAGGTATTGTAGGACGCATTTCACAGTCCAATATCTTATCTATCTCATTAAGAGGACTAACCTGCAAAATGTAAAACACAATTCTCAGTTAATGGAACCTAAGGCATCCTAAAACACAACTACACACTGAATATTTTGAAATCTTACGCATTCAGGAGAACAAATGTTACAAACCGCGTCGGTTCTGACAATAGCCTCGACTTGCTCAAGTGCCCGATCTTTTTTGGGAAGAAAGTCATCATCATCAGAAGTTATAAACTGGTTTCCTATCTGATCGTATTTGAAGCCTCTCCACTAAGCTACTCATTGTTTTCTGCACACAAAACATGTTTCTCATCAATAAGAGTACCTGAGTTCTGCTATCTTAACCATCACAGAGCAAAATTGATTCCCAAATCAAAAAATTTACAACTAAATCTCCAATAATCCAGCTAAGATAGAAGAGAAGCAACTAGATATACCAGTCTCTTGTACATAATTCCGATTTTGAAATCGACAGAAAACCCACAAGAGCAAGATCGAAGAAGCTTAAGAGAGAGAGAAACAACAAATAAGTACGAAAATCCAAAGAAAAACCCCTAATTTAAATTACCTAGAAAACAAAAAAGCTCAATTGAGTTATCAAAGAGCGAGAAAAATAAGTGAAGGAGAGTTTGATTGAATACCCAAATGGAATTGATGACCACATTAGAGCTTAGCCGTGGATCTTGTACCGTCGCCGACCACCAATTTGAGGCAAATCGAGCATGAGACTTCAACAAGAGACGACAAATCCTCGTTCTTTGATATAGGATAGTTTACATTAGAGAGAGCCACATAATTGGCTAATTTCCTTTTCGTTTTAGTCAGTTTTACTTAAGTCGGTTTTTGCTTTTCTTATATAAAGAAGTTGTAATCCATCTTCATAATAATATGCAGAACATTTCAGAAACCTTCTCTCCCTTTCTCTTCTTGTTACATTAGCTTATTATCAGCTAAGAATCTCTTCTTCTCTGAAAGATTCTTTGCAAGTGAGTTCGGAATAGGAATAGGTGTTTTAGGAACATCAATTCTATGTTACTATCGGTTATTTGGAACCTATAGTTTCCCTCTACCAAAGGTATCAGACGTCTCTCGATTCTCGGAACTCATGACGGAGTCAGCTCAAACACGTGTCCAAACCGCCATGAAGGAGGCCCTTCTTCACGACATCGAAGCAAGTGTCAGCGCACGATTTGATGACGTTCGCCAACATACTCAAGCGCAATTTGAGGAAATTTTCCAGCATAACCAAGATTTGGAAGCTCGGATGGACAAAAAACTCGACAAGTTGGAGACAGACCTCTTGGATATGTTTGCTGTTATTCGCAAAATCTCTAAAACTCGCGACTCATCTCCTAACCCACCATCCGTCACCAAAAACTCCACACCTTTACTCCCAACCCTGACCCCCACTCATGACTCTACTCGTGGCGGCAACTCGCACACGTACTTTGGCATGACTCAACTTGCTAAGTTGGATTTCCCTCAGTTTACCGGTGACAAACTTATAGAGTGGCTGTTCAAGGTCGAACAATTTTTCTCCATCGACAACACACCCGATGACTTACGAGTTGGTATCGCTTCTATCCACTTTGACGGTCTTGCATCGGCTTGGCATCAATCAATCATTCAATCTGACCTGGCACAATCCTCACTCTCTGATTGGTCCTCGTATAAGATTCTTTTGTATGAACGATTTGATGACCTCTTAGACGATCCTGTTGCGAGCTGAAGCACTTACAGGAAACTGACGGTATTATTGAATACCACGGAAGATTTGAACTTCTGCGTACATGAGTTAACTTCTCCGAAGACTATTTGGTTCGCCATTACTTGGCCGGACTCCGAACTGATACGCAGATGCATATTCGTATGTTCCAACCAAGCACTATTCGTCAGTGTTTACTTCTTGGACGTTTATACGAGAAAGCTCACCCTAAGAAACCATACACCTCCAATTGGTCACAAAACCGTACCACGTCTACTAACCGAGTTTATTCCACTTGGTGGCTGTGATATCGTCTTGGGTGTTCAATGGTTAGCCACGTTCGGACCTATAACTTGGGATTTCCAGAAGCTGGAGATGGGATTCAAGAATGGTCAAAAGTGAAGGTTTTACTTCATGGTATCAAGGAAGGCTCGATTCGTCAAATCAAAGCGACTAAACTTAATAAACTTCGTGAAGCAGATGTCCAGTTGGCCATGATCTACGTCCAAGATTATTGTCCTGAAGACGAGGTTTCATTGTATTCATTAGATGCAGCCTCAACTCCAGAGCCCCTCTGTTCCGACATTTAACATCTTCTGATGAATTCCATGATATTTTCTTGGAACCAACCACTTTACCTCCTTTTCGCCGAAACCATAACCACAAGATTCCCTTACTCGAAGGTTCCAACCCTGTAAACCAGAGACCTTACCGCTATGCTATTCATCAGAAGAATGAGATCGATAAAATAGTGCAGGAGATGTTAACGGCGGGTACAATTCAAGCCAGCTCTAGCTCTTACGCGTCACCGGTGGTTTTGGTCAAAGAGAAAGACGGTTCCTGGCGTCTTTGTGTGGACTATCGTGGTCTCAACAACATGACAGTAAATGATCGGTTTCCTATTCCGTTAATCGAAGACCTTATGGATGAATTGGGTGGTTCTGTCATTTGTTACAAAATCGATTTGCGAGCAGGCTATCAGCAAGTGCGAATGGATCCTTGTGATATTCATAAAACAGCTTTCAAACACATGGTGGACATTATGAATATCTCGTCATGCCTTTCGGGCTTACTAATGCCCCTGCTACATTTCAAGGTCTGATGAACTCTGTTTTTCAGAGTTTCTTATGCAAGTTTGTTCTCATCTTTTTTGACGATATTTTAGTCTATAGTTCGTCGCTGGAGTCTCACATACGTCATCTTCGCCGTGTGTTTGAATTGATGAGGACTAACAACTTATTTGCTAAGCAGAGAAAATGTATCTTTGCTACAGAATGGGTCGAGTACTTAGGTCACTACATTGAAGCTAAAGGTATCTCCACTGACCCTAGCAAGGTTAAGGCGGTTAATGAGTGGCCCGTCCCAAAGAATATCAAACAACTCCGCGGCTTCTTAGGGCTCGCTGGGTATTATCGTCGCTTTGTTCGAAGATTTGGAACCATAGCACGACCCTTAACAGCTTTGACGAAGAAAGACTCTTTCTCATGGTCTCCTGAAGGTCAAACTGCTTTTGATGGTTTGAAAGAAGCATTGTGCGTCACCCCTGTTTTGGCTTTACCACAGTGTGACAAACCTTTTGTTGTAGAAATTTATGCGACACTTGAAAGGGAAACAACTATTTCTCTCCATCTACGAAAAAGAGTTGTTGGCTGTTGTCTTTGCTGTTCAAAAGTGGCGTCATTACCTTCTTACAGGACACTTTGTGATTAAGACAGATCAGAGAAGCTTAAAATATCTTCTGGAACAGCGCTTGAATACCCCGATTCAACAACAATGGCTCCCTAAGCTACTGGAATTTGATTACGAAATTCAATACAAACAAGGGAAAGAAAATTTGGTAGCTGATGCATTGTCAAGGATGGAAGGAGCAGAAATTCTCAACATGGCTATGTCTGTTCTTGAGTGCGATTTTCTTCAACAGATTCAGGCCGGTTACGATTCAGATTTGGAGCTCAAGGAGTTGATTGATGAACTGAAGGTCAAACCGCAGGCTCGAAAACACTACTCTTGGACCCAAAATATCTTAAGGCGCAAGAGCAAGATCGTTGTTCCTCATACTCCTCTTCTACGAGGTAAAATTTTGGATTGGTTACATAGTTCTGGGAGTGGTGGACATTCTGGACGAGTGATGATAGGATTTGTGTGTGGTGTGAAAGATATGAAATGAGATGTGGTGGAATGCAACAGTGGTATATGATGAGGTGGTAAGATGCAAACACAAACACAGTCAACAATTCCCTTTAACCATCATAGTCATTGTAGTAAAGGTTATCAATCCAAAATGGGAAACTTGTCACTCTATGAGAATATGAAACAAGGAAGTCAAGCAAGCAGTAATAAATATGGGGTAAAAGTAAAAAAGCAGTAGAAGCAACAGCTCGACCAAGGACTCGAGTCGAGTGGAACAGAGTACCAGCTCGATCGAGTTTAGGGTCGAGTTGAGAAAAAGCAATAAAGGCAGCGACTTTAACAAGCTAATGCGAGAATTAGGGTTCAAGACAGGGTTTTGCAATCAGAGGAAGCTACACTTAATCAATCTGCTCTTAAAACTCCTTGTATCAAGGCTTCTCTTGATATTGGGCTTCTCAATGCCTAGCAACCCTTTCCCAAGGTGAAAGGCTATCAACCAAGGAATGATCTCAGAAACAGGGGGTTAGCCAGTGAGAATCAAACCTTGGAGGCCATAGGATCATTGCCCAAACTAATCCATCCAACCCCTTAGACCTCATTTCTAGAGCAAGAGATATTGGAGCTCTTAGTGGATCTTTTCCAGCGATTTCCATCACTTCCATGTGGAGAATCGCCTAAGGACATACAAGCCAGGGGTAGTGGTCATGTAGCCTTAAGATCTATCCAAAAGAGAGAGAATCTAGATTAAGACCATAAGCTAGAAGGATTAAGCATATGAAACCTCTAATCTATCCCATCTCAAACCCTAATGGGTAACTACTCACTACACATGAATGTAAACACAAGCAAATGCAATAAAAGAGACATCATAAGAAAGAGGAGATGAAATAAACAACTTTTATTGAAATAAGCAAGTGCAAATACAAAGAGATTATCCAGGATCTAGGATTCAAGAAGCAAGAGCTTCAAGAACACAAAGATGGGATTAGAGCTCTAAAAAGTAAAAGACAATAAATTAAAAGAAACTAAAACAATAAAGCTTGGTGGTTTTTTCGTGGCTTTTAGCCTTTAAATACAAGAGGATTAGGTTTAGGGTCAAAGGAAAGTCAAGGGGGAAGCAACATTTTTCGGGTTTGACTGTTGACTTCTCAGCTCGATCGAGTTGAAGCTTGGCCGGTCGAGTTGAGGAACTCGACCGGTTGGTCGAGTAGATGGTCGAGCTGGTCTTCAAGATGGCTTCTCCTTCTTCCTTTGCGTATCCAGTTGAGCTGCGTCCATGCCAAGTCCCTCCATGCTCCTCACGTCCCATATGCTCCAGAATGCTCCAAAAGACCTATTTCAAAGGACCAAACATGCATATGTATGCAAATGCAACCTAAAACTACATGAATGCATAAGAAGAGAAAAGGAACAAGATATGATGCTAATGGATGCTAAAACTATGCAAAAGATGCATAAAAGATGTACTAAAACTATGTAAAATGCAAGTACATCAACACCCCCAAACTTGAACTTTGCTTGCCCTCAAGCAAACAAATAGAACAAGAAAGAGATGAGGTTTGAAAACAAGCTGATTCAACACTTAAAAACATGTCCTCAAAAGCGATTTGCTAAATGTCCAACTTAGAGATTCTAGAATGCAACAAGGTGAGAGATATTCATTAAGATTTAACCATGCTTATCAACATCAATCCCACTTCACAGTCACTCAAACAATGCATTCAAATCAGCAAATCCCTTTAACATTCATTAAGCAAAAACAGTGAACCAAAAACATGCAAGATCAATCAACTCATTTGGTTTCAAGGGTTTATGGGTTAAGAGACAAAGAGGGTCTCTTTTGTATGGTGGTTTAGTAACAGGGATCTCTCAAGAAAGTGGCTTTGCTTTGGCAGAAGGCTAAGTGTTAGAACCAAAGATGATGCAAGAACAGCAGCTCGAGCCGCCTAATCCTAACTCGATCGAGTTCAACACTTAGAGCTTTTTAGAACAAAATCCTAACTACCCTTTTTGGCATTTCGCCTTTGAAACTGAGGAGCTTTGCTCACTTTTCTTTTAAGAACTTCCTAGGGAGAGGCTTCTTGAGGTAACATCTAGCGGTTTGGGATTTTCTAAACACTTAGGGAACTTTTCTTTCCTTTTTGACACTTGAGGCTTTGCCTTCTTTTCATTCTACTTAGAACCCTTTTTACTTTCCTTTTTTAACTTCCCAAACCTTTACTAGACCCTTTTTAAACACTGCCAACTCCCTGGACTTAACTAAACTCTTTTTCCTTTGGGTTTTTCCCAACTTTTACCACTTTTCTGGTTTTTACACCCAACTCGATCGAGCTCGAGTTGGCACCCCCAAACTTAGCCTGAAAACAATCCCAAGAGAACTAGACAACTAGAACTACTGCCCCTGCCGGTTTAAACACAACACCTTATGCTAAGCAAAGCCAAGAAAGGTTCTCACATTCGCACAAGAGATAATATGGGGTTTGAAATGAAAAGGCTTAGGTTTAAGGTGTGGTAACTGTCTCAAAGATAGAGATCAGCTATCTGGACAAGCAAAGGGATATGAAAATGGTAAAGAATGTCCAGATATGTATGTGGTAGCCATGAGTTGAAATCAAATGCAAGCATTGGTAATTAAAGATCAAGTTATGGTTCAAATAGATAGGGAAATGCATCAAATCACAGCAATGGTTGAATGAGATGTGCATGCAGTGATATGATCAAGATAAACATGGTTCTTGCTGCTCAATCAATCTCACCCTAATGCACAAAAGAATCTAAAAACAGGGCACTCAAGAAATCGCAAAAGATGAACAAGTTTTCAAAGTCAAATCAACAATGCAAGTGAAAAATGCAATCCTAAACAAGTCTAACAAATATGAATGCAAAAAGATGAAAATATTTTTGGATTTTTTGAAAATTTTATGATTTTTTTGGTTTTTCTATGCAAAAGAATGAAAAACTAAGAACAAAGAAAACAAGGTTAAATCATCTCTTGAACCCTCCCCCAAACTTAAATCACACAGTCCCTTGTGTGAGAAAAATTTAGTGAAAGATTCAAGAGGGCAAAACCAAGAAAAAAAAACAAATGCAAGAAAATATGAAATGGTATATACAAGGGTTGGTGTTTGGATACCTCAGTGCCCCCCAAAGAACTGGGAGGCAAGGTCGTGGTCTGGAGAGGGCAGACGGCCATCAGGAGCTCCACTGGGTCTGTCACTCGATCGAGCTTGCTCTTGGCTCGATCGAGTTGTGCCTCGAGTTAGCTTCCTTCCTAAAACCTGTTCCTGCAAGACTTAGCCAAGAAAATCACAGAGATAAAAGGATAAAGAAATATGTACAAGATAGACATGGGAATTCCTCCCAAGTGAGCTTGTTTTAGGTCTCATAGCTTGACCTTACCCCTTTTAGGCCGGGGTTGGATCTTGAAGAGGAGTGATGATCTCCTCTGTGGGGGTCATTCCTAGATATGGCTTGCATCTATGTCCATTCACTGTGAATTCCTTCCCCTCTTGATTGAGCAAGTGAGGGACCCATAGGGTAGAACTTCGTGAATCTTGAATGGTCCCGCCCACTTTGACCTCAGCTTCCCGGGAAACAACCTTAGCTTGGAGTTATACAAGAGCACACTGTCCCCAACCTTGAAGTCCTTAAGGCGAATCAGTTTGTCGTGGGCTGCCTTGGTTCTCATCTTGTAAATCTGGAGTTCTCATAGGCATTCATTCTGATTTCCTCCAACTCAAACAAGTTCATTACCCTCCTTTCTTGTGCTGCCTTTATATCAAAGTTCAGCATCTTTACTGCCCATAAAGCCTTGTATTCGACCTCCACAGGTAAGTGGCAATCCTTCCCATACAGCAAATTGAAAGGAGACCTTCCAATGGGGGTTTTGTAAGCTGTTCTATAAGCCCAAAGTGCTTCATCAAGCCTTGCTGACCAATCCTTTCCTAGTGAAGCTCACAGTCTTCTCAATATGGCCTTTATCTGTCTGTTGGAGACTTCAACTTGCCCACTGGTTTGAGGGTGATAGGGCGTGGCGACCTTGTGCTTGACTCCATAACTCTTCATCAACTTCTCAAACACCTTGTTGATGAAATGGGAACCTCCATCCGAAATAACAACCCTTGGGATGCCATATCTTGGAAAGATGATGGTTCTGAAAGTTTGATAACAACCTTGGCATCACAGGCTGGGCAGGGATGGCTTCAATCCATTTGGACACATAGTCACAGCAACCAAAATGTAGTTGTGCCCGTTTGAGAAGGTTTGAAAGGTCCCATGAAGTCTATTCCCCATACATCAAAGATCTCAACTTCTAGAATTGGGTTTAGTGGCATTCATCCCTCTTGGTGATCCCTCCTTTCCTTTGGCATGGATCACACTTGGCAATGTAACTTGCTGCATCCTTGAACAAAGTAGGCCACCATAAACCAGATTGCAAAACCTTAGTTGCGTTTTGAATGTGCAAAGTGACCTCCATAAGCTGACCCATGGCAATGCTCTAGAACTCCTTGTACATCTTCTTCAGCTATGCATCTCCTGTAAATGCTGTCTGGTCCTCTCTTGTACAAGTAAGGCTCATCCCAATAGTAATGCCTAGCATCCTTGAAGAATTTCTTCCTCTTGTAAGCATCAAACTACTAGGGACTTCTCCGGACACCATGAAGTTCACTATATCAGCATACCATGGCAAATTCTCATCACGCAGAGCCTTAACTTCTTCCAGCCTGACTTTCTCATCAAAACTCTCCTTTCAAGATCATGATTGCCATAAGCTGTTCTTCAGGCATAGAATCATTGATGGGGATCATGTCTTCAACTCGCATCCTAGAGAGATGATCAGCAACTCCATTTTCTACTCCCTTTTTGTCCACAACTTCTATGTCAAACTCTTGAAGCAAAAGGATCCATCTGAGAAGTCTTGGCTTTGTATCTTTCTTAGCAAAGATGTGCCTAAGGGCAGCATGGTCAGTGTGCACAATCACCTTGGATCCCAACTATATAGCTTCGAAACTTTCTCAAAGGCAAAGACTATGGCAAGGAGCTCCTTCTCTGTGGTTGCATACTTGCATTGAGCATCATCCATAGTCTTGCTTGCATAGTAGATGACATTGAGTTTCTTGTCTATCTTTTGGCCAAGCACTGCTCCCACTGCATAGTCAGATGCATCACACATAATCTCAAATGGGTGATCCCAGTTTGGAGCTTGAACTATTGGCGCAGACACCAGAGCATCCTTCAGCAAGGTCCAAGACTTGTGGCATTCTTCATCAAACTCAAAATCTGTCTCCTTGCATAGAAGCCTTGTCAAGGGTCTTGCTATCTTTGAGAAATCCTTGATGAATCTTCTGTAGAACCCTGCATGACCCAGAAAACTCCTTATGTCCTTCACAGTCTTGGGAACAGGGAGCTGCAACATGACATCCACCTTAGCTCGATCGAGCTCGATCCCTTTCTCGGAAATCTTGTGTCCAAGCACAATCCCTTCTCGAACCATGAAGTGGCACTTCTCCCAGTTGAGTACTAGATTGTCTCCTCACACCTCTGCAACACCCTGCACAAGTTAGACAAACATGAGGAGAAGGATGCTCCATAGACTGAGAAATCGTCCATGAAGACTTCTACCATCTCCTCTATCAGATCTGAAAAAATGGAGGTCATGCATCTCTGGAAAGTAGCTGGGGCATTGCACAGCCCAAATGGCATCCTTCGATAAGCAAAGGTGCCATAAGGGCATGTGAAAGTGGTCTTCTCCTGATCATTAGGGTGGATCGGGATTTGGAAAGTTCTTCCAGCCTGACTTTCTCATCAAAACTCTCTTTCAAGATCATGATTGCCATAAGCTGTTCTTCAGGCATAGAATCATTGATGGGGACTATGTCTTCAACTCGCATCTTAGAGAGATGATCAGCAACTCCATTCTCTACTCCCTTTTTGTCCACAACTTCTATGTCAAACTCTTGAAGCAAAAGGATCCATCTGAGAAGTCTTGGCTTTGTATCTTTCTTAGCAAAGATGTGCCTAAGGGCAGCATGGTCAGTGTGCACAATCACCTTGCACCCAACTATATAGCTTCGAAATTTCTCAAAGGCAAAGACGATGGCAAGGAGCTCCTTCTCTGTGGTTGCATACTTGCATTGAGCATCATCCATAGTCTTGCTTGCATAGTAGATGACATTGAGTTTCTTGTCTATCTTTTGGCCAAGCACTGCTCCTACTGCATAGTCAGATGCATCACACATAATCTCAAATGGGTAATCCCAGTTTGGAGCTTGAACTATTGGGGCAGATACCAGAGCATCCTTCAGCAAGGTCCAAGACTTGTGGCATTCTTCATCAAACTCAAAATCTGTCTCTTTGCACAGAAGCCTTGTCAAGGGTCTTGCTATCTTTGAGAAATCCTTGATGAATCTCCTGTAGAACCCTGCATGACCCAGAAAACTCCTGATATCCTTCACAGTCTTGGGAACAGGGAGCTGCAACATGACATCCACCTTAGCTCGATCGAGCTCGATCCCTTTCTCGGAAATCTTGTGTCCAAGCACAATCCCTTCTCGAACCATGAAGTGGCACTTCTCCCAGTTGAGTACTAGATTTGTCTCCTCACACCTCTGCAACACCCTGCACAAGTTAGACAAACATGAGGAGAAGGATGCTCCATAGACTGAGAAATCGTCCATGAAGACTTCTACCATCTCCTCTATCAGATCTGAAAAAATGGAGGTCATGCATCTCTGGAAAGTAGCTGGGGCATTGCACAGCCCAAATGGCATCCTTCGATAAGCAAAGGTACCATAAGGGCATGTGAAAGTGGTTTTCTCCTGATCATTAGGGTGGATCGGGATTTGGAAGAAACCACTGTAACCATCAAGAAAACAATAAAAAGATGGTTTGCTAATCTTTCTAACATCTGATCAATGAAAGGGAGAGGGAAATGATCCTTTCTAGATGCTGAATTTAGCTTCCTATAGTCAATACACATGCGATGCCCCACTATTGTTCTAGTGGGAATCAGCTCCTCTTTGTCATTTTTTATGACAGTGATCCCCCCTTTCTTTGGGACGCAATGAACTGGAGATATCCAAGTGCTATCACTGATGGGATAGATTATCCCAGCATCAAGCAACTTGAGTATCTCTTTCTTCACTACTTCCTTTAGATTGGGGTTCAATCTCCTTTGAGGTTCAATGCTAGACTTACTTTCATCCTCTAGATGAATCCTATGGATGCATAGGTCAGGGGAGATTCCCTTGATATCATCTAGAGTGTAACCTATTGCTTTTCTT